TGAATATTATATATTTTTTTCTGGTATATGAGCAAGCGGGTAGGGAAGCCACTTGCATACATTAATATTATTTTTTCAATTAAGGATATAGGCTCCTATAACAAAGTATGGGGTTTACTATCAAATTACACAATATGGAAAGTTTAGATGATATTATAGAAGATGCGAATAAAAATATTAAAAAGGTGTTTCTAGCAGGGGTTGCACCTGAATTTCGACAAGAAGCATATATAATTGGTCTTAAATTAACATTGGATAGATTGGCACAGGAGCTAGAGTTTGCGCAAAAAGATGATTGTTCTTCTAATCCAGCCAGCCCGGAGCAGTGATCATTTGCCATTAGATGAATTAGCTAAAAAGCTTTATGAGATAGAGTTAAGACGAATTGCTAGACATAAAAGAGATAAAATATCTGATCCGCTAGTATCTCAACGAGCATCTCGAGAAATATATGAACCCTCACCTGTTTCAGCCCCGCAACAGCAAGGAATTTCTTTAGAAGATATACAAAAAGCAATTCAAAACGCACTGGCACATCAAAAAACTGAATACCAGTCTTTATTAGAAAAGCAAAAATCTGATTTTCAATCGCAAATGGCTCAGCAAGTATCTACTCCACAAACTGTTGAACCAGTTAGACAGCCAAAAGGTCCACCATCTTCACTGAAAACAGAGGAAGGTCTCAAGAATTATTATGTAGCCGAATACTTAAAAGAAGTAGGTCTACTTAATAAGGAAGATTTAGACTCAGATTATCCTGTAAAAAATTTTCAAAGATCACGTCCACAGCGAAACAATAATTCTGCTAGAATTGATAGGATGGAAGAAGGACTTAATGAAACTCATGAATCTGTGAATCAGTTAACCGAAGAATTCCAGAAACTAAATATACGTAAACCAGTAGCACGATCCAATTTTAATTGGTCTTACTTTACACCTATTAAGCCTATAAATCCTCAATATGCGTCTCCAGATTCAAATGATGGTGAAGACAATAATTGGTGGACTGGGTATGAGCCCGAAGACACAAAGTATGAAGCGTCAGAAAAAAAAAACAGGTACCAGTAAATGAACCT